GTCTGTGTTCTGCTCCGTGTGCTGACCCAGTGCCCCACGGGCTACACAGGGGACCTTCAGTCTGTGTTCTGCTCCGTGTGCTGACCCAGTGCCCCGCAGGCTGCACAGGGGACCTTCAGTCTGCGTCCTGCTCCGCGTGCTGACCCAGTGCCCCACAGGCTGCACAGAGGACCCTCAGTCTGCTTCCCGCTCTGCGTGCTGACCCAGTGCCCCGCAGGCTGCACAGAGGACCCTCAGTCTGTTTCCCGCTCTGTGTGTTGACCCAGTGCCCCGCGGGCTGCACAGAGGACCCTCAGTCTGTTTCCCGCTCTGCGTGTTGACCCCGTGCCCCGCGGGCTGCACAGAGGACCCTCAGTCTGTTTCCCGCTCTGTGTGTTGACCCCGTGCCCCGCGGGCTGCACAGGGGAGCTTCAGTAGGTATGTGCTGAAAAGGGTGATCCTCAGCAGTGTCCTGACAGCAGAAGCAGCCCATTGTTAAACCAAGGAGGCTGTGAACTGGATGTGTGCAATGACCCGTCATGCACAAACCACATATTCACTATTCTGCGGTGTCTATTTTGAGGGGTAATGAGTACATGGCTTTGTGATAAGGGAACAGCCTGAATTTTAAATCTCAGGTGGCTCCATGGGAGGCTGTTGATAAGACAGCCACATCCACACACCACACACAATCGTGGGCAAACGCATGAAGCAGCGAGCACCCAGTCAACACAGGAGCACTGTGAGCTCTGGAAACGTAAAGGAAGAACCTGACAAGCAAGCAGACAGAAGAAGAGTCCTCCAAAGAACTACGCCCCCTCAGTGGGACCCGTGGAGCCGACTGAAGAGACGCCTGACCAATGAAGAGAGACCTGAGCATTTGTTCACTGGTGTCTCCGAGAGGAGAAGGTAAAGGGTTTATGCTTCAACTCTGTCAGGAACTCACGCCGGGCTAGCGCCCCCTTCTGGCACTAAGTCATTCCTACTCTTCCCAACCAGGGCTCAAAAGTGATCCTCACTGGAAAATGGCCTGAATAAAAAGCTCCCTTCTTCAAAGGCAACTCCACTACTTAACATCGAAAATGACACCCCGCAACACCCAAGAAAGCAAGCAGGAACGGTGGGCGGGCCACACTGTGACATCAGCACAGCCCGTCGGGTGGCACACACACACTGCCCCCCACACACACATCCCCACACACACACCACACTCAGCAGGAGCTGCAGAGGGAGTTGGGCGCCCAGCCTGACCTCACTGCCCATGACACCTGCAGGCTGAGCCCTGCTCCCAGTAACAGATAATAGAATCTGACGCTGGCATCCACCCCAACAACCGCCTGGACCAGCGCGGGGCCACAGGGCTCCAGGACCAGCAGAGGGCCCTCCGGACTGCAGGCTCCCACAGAGCACTAGGCGAGACAGCCTGGCTGGTTCCTATCGTCCCGAATGTGAGGATGGAGGGGCCCTTACAGACAACCCCGTCCAGCCCCCGCCTTCAAGCAGGCTTGGTATTATCCACTGACAGATGAGGCCCAGAGGTTTCAGGTTCTCTTTAAGGTTACACAGCTAGGAGATGGGGTGAGGGTGGAGCCCATCTGCTGCCCCACCCGCTGTATCCAACTGCTTTGAATCTTCCCCATGCCAACATCCAATGTCCCTGAACCACGGCTGAGGGAGGTGACTGGCATCAGCACTAGAAGTGGCCTGGGAACCAGCCCATCCAACCTCCCAGCTGACAGGTGAAGAAGCTGGGGACAGTGAGGGTCTGCCCCGGTCATGGCTGGTGGCAGGCCAGCGAGACCTGGTGGCCTGTTTACCTCACTAAGTCTTTGTGAAGGACAATTAGAAAATCCCTAATGCAGCCGGTCAGACACTAGACCACAGCTCCCACCATTGCCTCCCACCTCTACCCCCACCCCCCTCAACTCCCATACCCCCTGCCTCCTACCCCCCACCGCCCCCACGGTGCCAGGCACTAGCAGGTGCTCAGTAAATATTTGAACAAATAAACTCTGATAAAAGAAAAACC